CCCCCGGCCCTCCGCCGCGGCCAACGGCAGCTATCAGTGTACGGTGACACTGGTCACGGCAGGAGCCAGTATTAACGAGGCTGACTGTAAAGGCTGTACCCCCTTACACTATGCTGCTGCGTCGGACACGTACAGGAGGTGAGTGTCTCCGGGACGTGCGCTCCTTGCTGCTGGGGCTGGAGACGATGGCACGCTGCTGGGCGGTGATGCTCTGCTGTTCCCTGGCTGCCTCCCTGCAGCTGGTGCTCAGTGGTTTGTGACGAGGGGAGCGCTTCGAGGAGCGTGGGTAGGAGGGGGGTAATCAGCAAACTGATGCGGGTCTCTGACCTTCCAGAGCAGAGACTCATTCAGGAAACAGCCATGACACTGATGAGGAGCCACTGAAGGAGTCCAGGCTGAAGGAGGCATTCTTGTGAGTCCGCGCCGCAGCCCCATCTGGCAGTTGTTTGTTGTTTACCCCTTTCCCAGACCTCTGCATGCAGTCGCTAGAAATACCTTGCTTCTGCTTACGCTGAACTGAGCAGCGATGCCTTGGAGGAAACATCTGCTGATTTGATTTTTCGAGGCAAACCTGGCCATCGCTTCCCGGTCCCCACTTCCAGCGCGCTTTGCATGCGCTCTGTGTCTTGAGGGGATTAGTACAGCATCTGCTCTGGGATCAAAGCAGGGGGGGTCCCTGCGAAGCTCTGCTTCTCCAGTCTCCCCTTTTTCTTCATCTCCACTTTCTCTTGCTCGTTGCAGTTGTTTAGAGTTCTTGCTGGATAATGGTGCTGACCCATCCCTCCGGGACAAGCAGGGATATACCGCTGTCCACTATGCAGCTGCGTACGGCAACAGGCAGAACCTCGAACTGGTGAGTGAGCCGGAGAAAACCCTCTGTGCTGCGGGAAGAGGGGGGAAGCCCCCCTTTAAGGAACGTGTCAAGCCCTACATTGTCCAGGTGTGGCTAAAGGACTGCGCGTGTTGTGGGCGCTACAGTGTCAGGCTTTGTCCAGGAGGGAGGGAGATGGGTTTGATTAAACAGCACGGGGACTCCTGGGGAGCTGTTGTGCTGGGAATACCATGGAGGAAAGACCTGGCCCTGAGTGAGGTGCCTGAGGGAAAGGAGCTTTGTTACCTGGCGCAGGGGGATGTATAGATGTCTTGCTTAAACCCCTGGCAATAGAGCGAGGTTAGGCTTTGGAAAGAAAGGCTGTAGACCTGTGCCAAGGAAGAGCCCTTGCAGTACCGAAAATGCCTTGTAACTCTGTCTGAAGCGCGTGCGTTGGTACGGGGTAAGCTTGCAGCCCTGTGGGCATGGGAAATCATGCGAGTAGTGGGGAGGCTTTGGGATAGCAGGGATTTGCTGTGACTGTCTATGCAGGGCCCAAAGCCAGGTTAAGGAAGGTCCCGTCCTGAAATTCAAATCATTCTGAAGCAGATGAGCAGGATTTCTAACCCCTCTGCAGCCTGCTGCCGCACAGAGCGTCCGCCAAAGCCTCCGTGAGTCCCCGATCAGTTACGGTTTTGTGTTGTTGCTGTTGCAGCTCCTGGAAATGTCTTTTAACTGCCTGGAGGATGTGGAAAGCACCATTCCAGTCAGCCCTTTGCACTTAGCTGTAAGTACGGCTGGCGCAGTCCCGGGGTTGCGGAGGGCACTTGGCTCCGTGCGGGGTTCACACTGAGTCCCGGAGAGGTGCCCGCTCCCGGGCAGCCCGCGCTGGGTCGCTGCAGCCGTCGGGGCTGAGTGGAGCAAAGGAAGAAAGGCACCGGTGGCTGGGAATGGCTTTCCCCATAGGCCATTGGTCAAAGTCCCTTTGATTTGTATGTTAAACTCCGCGCTCTCTCCAGAGCTTTCTGCTTGCTGCTGTTCGGAGCCACCTCCCCTGCCTGCCTGCGGGCAGGGGTGGGCGAGGGCTTTGCGTGGGACTCAGGTGCAGATGAGAGGCAGTGGCCGGGCAGGAGCCCACCTGGCTGGAGGGACGCAGGAGACAAGAATTGTCCCGGGATGGGGGACTTCTGGCTGCAGCCTCTCCAGGCACCGCTTTAACGTGGTCTGCTTTGTCCTCAGGCCTATAATGGTCACTGTGAAGCCCTAAAGACACTTGCCGAAACCCTCGTGAACCTCGATGTGCGGGACCACAAGGGGCGGACGGCGCTGTACCTCGCCACGGAGAGAGGCTCCACGGAGTGCGTGGAGGTGCTCACCAGCCACGGCGCGTCTGCCCTGGTGAAGGAGAGGAAGAGGAAGTGGACCCCTCTCCATGCTGCAGGTGACGGAGGGCAGATGGGGCTGGGGACGGTCGGGGGCGGCGAGGGAGCGTGTCCAGAGCCCTTCCAGCCGTCAGTGCCACCACTGGCAAGGATGCCCGTCCACCCGGGTGCTGTCTGGGGCGAGGGAAGGGGCTGGGGTTTAGGATGATGCTTAGAGGCAGGATGGGGCCAGTGCAGCCTGCTGCGATGTGCCAGCAGAAGCTGAGGGTCCAAGTGGCTCAGCAGCGGGTGGGAGAGAAGACACCAGCAGCTTCTGCACACACATGTCTTCAGCTCAGCCTGTGCCCGCACTAATCAATCCTGTAGCCTAGCAACCACATAACGAATTTGCGCAGCCACGTGTGCCTGGCTGCTGGGCACGAGCCCCTTCCTTTGGTTTTGCGGTGGTGGCTGGAAGGAGGGGACCCGTCTGTACGTGTGTGTGACTCCTCCTTTCCTCGTGCCTTGTCTCCAGCTGCCAACGGGAACACTGATTCCCTGCACCTCCTGATAGACAGCGGGGAGCGGGCAGACATCACCGACGTCATGGACATCCACGGCCAGTGAGTTTGTCTGGATGTTTCCTGTGGGATCTGTGTGGCAGGGGGTCACCCCTGCAGGGTGGCTGGGGCAGGGGAGAGAGGGCAATGCTTGAACGCAGCTGATTTCCAAACCCTGCTGCCTCTCCCCCCTGCAGAACCCCCCTGATGCTGGCGATCATGAATGGCCACGTTGACTGTGTCCACCTCCTGCTGGAGAAGGGATCCACAGCCGATGCAGCGGACAAGAGGGGAAGGACCGCCCTGCACCGAGGGGTGAGTGCGTCCCTGGGACTCTGCAGCTTCTGCTCGTCCTCCTGTGCGGAGGCTGCTTGGAGAACAAGCAGGTGGTTTCTCTTGCTGCAAGAGTCCTCGGTGAAAGAGTCCATTTTCCCTTCCTGAGGGTGCAGCATTTGAGAAGGACGCTGTGGAAGAAGGGGGTTCTGTAGTTAAATTGATTGAAGGGTGAGGTCCGACCTCCTGATCCTCTTTCCTGGCCGCAGGCTGTGACGGGCTGTGAGGACTGCCTGGCTGCCCTGCTGGACCACGATGCCTTCGTTCTGTGTCGGGATTTCAAAGGCCGGACCCCGATCCACTTTGCGTCGGCGTGCGGGCACTTAGAAATCCTGAGGACCCTGCTGCAGGCAGCCCTCTCTACTGACCCTCTGGACTCTGTGGTGGACTACAGCGGTTACTCACCGATGCACTGGGCTTCATACAGTGGTAAGGACGTGGGCTGGGTCCCTGCCCGCCTCTGCTCTGGCTATTGATGGGGAGGAGGGGGCCAGGAGGAGCCAGGTTATCCCTCTGTCCCCCGCTGTTTTGGGCTCTGTCAGCCCAGCAGTGAGTTCAGCCTGGTGGAAAGGACGGCACCCTCTGGGAGGGAGGCAGGGAGTTTTTCTCCCCCTGTCAAGCTCCTTAGAAAAAGAGTGAAATGTGAAAACAGCTATTACAGAGCAGCTGAGACTGCTTCCTCCAGGACCGCTGGATTTATAGGATTACTTGGCCGTCACCCTGGCTGCAGGGGGTGGTGGGACTGATACGGCGACAGGAAGGGATGTCTCAGCGTTTCAAAGGGAAGCTAGCAATGTGGCTGAGAAGCCCTTCAGGAGATGGGGTGGAACTAGAAACCTCCTGAGATGCAGCAGCTTTCCAGAGAGGAAACAAAACCGCTGCCTCTGTGCTGGGGAACGGGGTGGTTTGGGCGCTTTGGTGCTGCTGGTGCTGTGCAGCCTCTGGGTCCCCTTTGCCTTCAGTCCCTTCTTGCGCTGTTACAGGTGAGGAACCGCAGGATGGGCACTGATGTATTTCTGTCCCTCTCTCCTCACAGGACACGAAGATTGTCTTGAATTGTTACTTGAACACAATCCGTTTGCGTACCTAGAAGGAAACCCCTTTACTCCATTGCACTGTGCAGTGTAAGTGGCGTCTGGGACCTGCCCCGGGTTCTCCCCAGCCGGGTGCTGTGGGAGCGGGGCTCTGAGCGGAGGAGCTCCAAACCCTGCCCTTCTTGCCGAGGGCCCTTTCCCGGGCGGCAGCAGCTCCTCGGGGTGGTACCATCCCAGCTCCCGTGTGGCAGGGAGGCGGCTGCTGGACTGCGGGAGGTCTTTGGGGGGCTGCAAAGCAGCTGTCTCCTTGGCTGCGTGCGGCACAGCCAGGGCTGTCATGTACCAGACTCCCATGCCAGCAGGCTTTCACCTCGATGGAGCTGCCAAGGGCTGGTTGTTCAGCCCTTGCTGGCCCTTTTGGGTGGCTCATCCCTGCTCTTCGCTTATGGAGCACCTCAGGAAATCTGCGGGCTTCCCGCGAGGCTCTGGGGATGGGCTGTAGTGGGAGAAGGGCTCCACGTTGTCCCAAACCACCTTCCTCAGAGGTGTCTGGGGCAGCGTGAGCATGATGCCTGGGGTCCCGCAGAGGGTTTTGGGGGCTGATGGTGAGTCCTTGGCTTTGCAGCCAGCAGAGGAAGGGGTGTGCTGCCCTGGGCAGCTGTGGAGGGATGAGGGAGGTGGAGGCATTGCCACCTTCTGCCTGGGGTGGGACCCGTAGCAGCAGAGGGATGGGCAGGGCTGTTGTCTGTGATGGTGCTGCGTTTCCTTGAGTAATACTGAGAAGGGCGAAGGGGTGTTTTACCCTAAACAATTCCAGACCAGCTGCTGTTTGCATCCAAGCCCCAGGAACGTGCTGCTCGCTCCCACTGCGGAAGTGCTAATGCTGCTTAGTCTTGTTCTAACTTTCTTTCCTTCTTGTCCCCACCCCAGAATTAACAACCAGGACGGCACTGCTGAAATGCTGGTGGAAGCATTAGGTGCCAAGATTGTTAATAGCAGAGATGCCAAAGGAAGGTGAGCGCGGGCTCGTCCCTCTCCCCGGTGCTGCTGGGTGGTGGCTGTGACTCCCGCAGTGATTTCCACGTGACTTCCCAATGGCACAGAGGGACTCTGACGTCCCCAAACATGTCCGTGGGCTTGGGCAATCTTGTTGGGGTGGGTGCTGTGCCCTCCGCTTTACCCGCTCTCTCGTCTTCCCAGGACACCCCTTCACGCTGCTGCCTTTGCAGACAACATCCACGGTTTACAGCTGCTTCTGCGCCACCAAGCCGAGGTGGACATGACTGACAAGCTGGGGAGGACTCCCCTCATGATGGCTTCTGAGAACGGGCACACTGCAGCAGTCGGTACGTGGCTGGCAGCCGCTTTCCCCAGCACGGGGTGCGAGCCTCCCTCTGCCTCCTCCCTCACCCGGCCCCG